AAATTCAGTTTATGCATGATTACATGATATAACTTTTTTAATACTGTATCCTAAATTGTGGATCATTAAGCTATATATCATATGCTGAAGTGCATTTCTGGATTGTGAAAGATTAAAAGAAAAAATAACAAGAACCGTACAGAACCGAAAACCGTGACCCTAAAACCGTGATACAAACCGAACCGTGGGTTTTGTGAACCGTGCCACCCCTAGTGTCGTGGAGAGTGTATTACTCCAGAACAGTAATATTTCTCTCTAAAGTGATTAAACAGGAGTAATAAATGAGAGGTTCTGTGTGGCTTAGTAATAATGTCATTGTTGTTTTTTGAATGGGTTGATCATCGATACCTCAGACACATCCACTTCTGTGCAGCGTCACAAAGATTCTGGCTTTGAAATGTCCTGGTTTCTTCTTGACTTGGAAAGGTGGAGTGAAAGTAATGGTGACTTGAATTTCAGCCAGACTTTTGTTTTGAGCTGTGTCATGGTTGTTAGTTTAATTTGTATTTATTTTGCCCAGTTCAGTGGGTAACACTGTAGCCTCACACCTTTTGGGCAGGGCCTTCATGAGTGTGCATGCTCTCCCTGAGCTTCCCACAGGTCCAGATCCCGCGGGTCAAAAACATACATCTCAGTCAACTGGCATTTCTAATTGGCTCTTAGAGTGTGGCTGGGAAATGTGAAAAGGCATGTAAATGTAGGAAGGTGTGGGTTGCTTTTCCTCCTTGTATTAGAAAGATTAGTTTTATTTTTAAATCTGTCACTATTTGACCAGCTTCTTTGCAGTTATTGTTCCAAAGATATCTCAACCTAACTAGGCGGAGTTGCCGGTTTCTCGGTGACATGGCGTACCAGCTAAACTGTTCTGGGGCGATGTGTGGCTCTATAGGTCAGGCCTCTGTGCCTGTGATTGAAAGGTCGCTGGTCAAAGTCCTTTGGCTGGCAGAGTGATTTCACTGTAGGGCACTTGACCAAGGACCCTAACCTCAATTGCTCAAAGGGCTCGCTGGCCCCGCCTTCTGAAATGCATGTCGCGTTGGATAAACGTAGTGGAATTCCAAAACTTCAGCTTGAACTACAGGTTATTTCAGCTCAGCACACTTTAAGAAAAGCTTTATAAACTGTTCATAAATGTCATCAGTGATAATTAATTAAATGCCATATTTCACTGACTCTTAACCCAGTCCTCATGCTTCCCCCAGCTAGTTCACCACCTTCCATGCAGTTCATCAAGGGTAGGCTGTTGGTTGACATGTAAAATCAGGTGTGTAGGTAGTAGGGATGCCCATATTGACCGTTTAACCATTAACCGAAAGAATTAATTTTGACCGATTATTACTATTGTTACGTCACGGTACGAAGGCGAGCAGGGAAGCAGGGAAAAGGAGCCAGGAAGTAAAAAATAACAGGGTTTAATCGGGGAAACAGGACCGGGGAAAGCACACAGACGAACGTCAATGACCAATCTGGGAAACAGTGGGAGACGCGGACTAATATGGACAAGACTAGGCAAACGGAACAGGCAACAAGTGAGAACAATCAGGGAGAAACAGGAGGTAACGAGGTGGGCGTGGCACACATTTGGATCGGACGGAGCGGGGCGTGACAACTATCAGTTAAACGGTTTAAAATGTTTTTATATATATATTTCAAATTATTATTATTAGTAGTATTAGTAGTAGTAGTAGTATAAAGTTTTGTGGCACAAATATGCTACACATACGCTATTTGTTAACTCATGGGGCGTTATCACGTGCAACCACACGTGCCTTCAGGCGTATTTTGCTGGGCAAGCAAAATGAAGCGAGCGAAAAGAAGTACTTATTCTTTTTATTTATATTCATTTGTTTTTCTCTGTTGTTGGAAACGCTGCAGGTGCGTGAAAATTTGATGATATGTGAATCCAGATTCTGTTCTTGATATGTAATAACGAACGGCGGTTGTTGGTTGGGAAAATTAATCGAAATGAGCATCCCTAGTAGGTAGTGAAGCCAAGGACATTGAGGGTTGGGAACCTGCGTTGCATTTGGAAGAAGAAGCCTTTGCTAAACTCATGTTAAAATTTCTTATACCGTAGGATATATTTAGTTGGTAAGTGGTTATTTTTAAATGTCGTGCATCCCCACCTACTGTTGATTAAGGGGATTGTTTGGTGTAATTGAAGCATCAAGAATACATTAGTTACAGTGTGCGCAGTGCATGCAGGCAGTCCCTAATCCAACGCTGGCGATCTGAATTCCCTTATTTGTTCCTGAAGGGCATCAATGTCGACACATGAATGGCTGGGAGACTGAAGTTAAATCAGGGAAATGTGCAGTGCTGCCTCACGTTTCTGTTAGAGCCATGCAGAAGTCATCTTTGGCAGAAACTGATTCATTTTGATGAAGATAGCAGCTATTGCTTTGTTCTCGCCGTTCAGGAAGGTTTATTTAATTTCGGCATTAATTTTGAGGTCTCTTTTTTTTTTTTTTTCCACGATTGCATTCAAGAGGTATGAGTAATTTTTGTTGCAAATAACAATGGTATAAGGCTTTTTCAAGGATGTCAAGAAAAACAACATGCTTCTCAAAGACCATTTTCCTAAAAAAAAAAATGTTTGGCACTCCTCTTTAATATATATACATATTTAAAAAATGATAATTGAGAATACTTTAACGCAGCAGATGGCATCATTGTTAAGGAAGAAAACTTTGTTTTTGATGGTTGCTGGTTCAGGTCCCAGAAAGACCCCCGCTGTTGAATCTTTTGCCGGAATTTGTAATATTTGCAGCTGGTTGAAATGTTGAGGTAGAATTTACTGCTGTGTCTTACGGGTTTCTTTGCATTTGCCAAGGCTGTTGATCTGAGGGCTTGAACTGTTTGCATCCTTTCCGTCACGCATGGGTGACTCTTTTGACTAGTGAGTTATGAACGTGCCCAAAGCACGTCAAGTGATGTAATTCTGCTGAAAACAGATGCAATAAATCAGTGGATTAAGGTCTGTCACAAGGCAATTGCAAGATGAAACATCTATGGCTCTGAAACTGAGATTCTGGCAAATAGGAGGGAATTCCACTTATTAATAATCGCCTGTGGTAAACATCGCTCCAGTAATATAGATCAGATGTGCCTGCTCTCTGAGGCAATCGTAGTTAAGTCATAAGCATTAATACCTCTGTAAGTATCTTTATTATCTTTTGTAAGTACCTTTTGGGTTCAATCAGAAGTTCAGCTGGTCATATTTGTGCTGCACTCCCATCGCTTACAAAAACTGAATTTACATTCTAATTATTTTTGCTTTGCAGTATTTATTGCCGTATCGGCTTAAATGAGACAGGTGCAGGCTGAATGTGGGGGAACGGCATACATTGGTAGCACATATGCCATAGTTTGCCGAAAGGACATGGGAGGAGAAGGTTCCGGAGCTTCGGTCAAAGCCCTCGCTTGTCCCATCTCTGTGTGTTCTCACCATGAAATCTGTTTCATGGGGCTCTGGAACACAACCGTTAGATCAGATGAAACTGCCCCCCCTCCACCCCCATGTCACTGGATCCTGTTTTCCCAGACTTTCCCAGAGCCACCCACAGCCCGTGTTGTGGAGCACTGCAGCTGACCTCCAGTGATAACCTCTGTTTCGGCTTCACTGATCCTTCCTTCTTTGTCTTTGTCATGAGGCAGATTGACCATTTCAATCTGATGTAAGAGCTGCATTGTTTTCTAGGCTAAATGTTTTTGTTCTCTCACTGCAGGTCACTTTTCACCCTGGAAGACCCCTAAACAGGTAAAAAGCCAAGCCAGACCTGAGCTCTGACATCTACTCCTTGTGACGTTTTCCTAACTCTGACATTAACCGTAGATAGCCTATGCCGCTGTGGTTATAGCTGCCCCCGTTACGACTCACTCATTAACCGTATCCGCCATGTGCTGTCGTCAATTAGCCCCTGCTGTAACCGGGCCCTTTCTTTGTCACCTGTGGGTCCCTTCTCTCCCCGTCACTAACAGATGAAGGGCTTGTAGTTCTTATGTGGCCTCATCATAGATGTGGAGTTACTAGATTGGTCCTGTGCGGTGAAGGCTGTGGGAACATGCATATGATTTGCACCTCTAGATGGGATGGCACTGGACAATCTTTGTTAAAATAGTATGGCTTTGAATTTGAATTTTGAAGTCGCTAAATATTTTGTAAATGATGGTGCTCAGTATGTACAATTCATACATAGAGTTCTATGGGTCGTAAAGAAGAACATGAAACTGACCATTTCAACCAATCTAGCAATTCTTAATCTATGGACCCAAAGCTTCCTCAGCATGCTTCCTCTGCTCTTCATCCTTGACCAGACCATCCGTTTCTGCTCCCTAAACATTATTAGGAGCGCTCACTCTCGCTCTCTCTCAATTTCATTAAAATCACTGGGCTTTTGAAAGCCTTCTCCTGAGAGCCGTATTTCAATGAAAGCTGAATATCCAAGTGCTGTGCTTTCATACCTTCTCTTTCCTCATATGTTGTTTTCAGTTTTATCCATTTATTCTGTCTGTTCTGCTTGTTTATTGGCCAGTTAGATTTCTGCTCATGATAGTGCTTCTTGATTTCGTAAATGGTCTCAGTAATTCTGTCTCATTTCAATCGAAGAGTCTTTTTTTAACAGTCAATATCAAGCAGCGAGCACGCCAGCAATTCGTCAAGCGCCAAGTTGTGTTTTTTCAGCTGAATCATGATGCCTGGGTGTGAAACTAAATGGAGTTAGGGCTGGGCGATATCACATCGCGCATGCACAATAATCACCGCCCTGGTCAGATGACAGGCGAAGCATTTGGCCGGAAGCCAGCTTTTCGGTGCTATACAGACATTAATTTACGCCCATAATTTGGTAAGAGGATTAGTAGTATGGCTTAAATATTAATGAGATGCGTTTTGTGATACACAAAAGTTAGTAATTTGTATAAACCTTATGTTTCTTAAATTCGATTAGCGGAGCACCCCACATATACTGTTTTGGTATACTATGGTTTGGTATACTATGGTGTGGTATACTACGGTTTGGTATACTACGGTTTGGTATACCTCAGTGCAATATGCACTGAAGTCGTGGTGAAGAGCAGCCACGACATCTTTTAAAAGAGGAGATCTTGTGGATAAACAAGGTAAAAAGACTTTGGTTCAAAGACTGACACATTTATTAAACATAAGGATATGCCGTATTTATACTAATAATGACTTTTGGACGTCATAAAAAGCCTCATTAATATTTTAGCCATACTACTAAACTGCTTAAATTGTGGGTGTAAATAAATGTCCGTATAGCACCGAAAAGCTGCCGCATGACCAAATGTTGCGCCAGTCATCTGAAGTCAAAGTGATTATTACGCGTGCGCGATATAATATCGATATGATATTGCCCAGCCCTAAATGGAGTTGAAGCTAGCGTTCACCTTTATGGCAAATAGCGAGAGGAACGCAAGGGTTACACCTAGCGTGTGCAAGGTCATTCTCCCAGCATAGCAACGGATTTGGGGGAAACACGAGTGCATGTATGGAAGCGTGTGGCGACCCTGTCGTTCAGCCAGGGCTACCCATCAGCCAGTTCATCTCATGGAAAACCCACCTCCAGCAGTAGAGAAGATTCAGCACCACATCTCCAGCTGCTTCTGTGGAAAACTTTCCGGCTGTGTTCCAGAGACTTCACCTTTCATTAGGGCACGGGGGAAAGGAAGGAAGGCCATATTCGTTTCATAGTGTTCAGTAAGAATTTCTCCATTCCACCACTGCGCTGCTAAGCTGCCTGACTGATAGCTTGAATTGCTCTCACAGTGTGTCAGTGTCAATTGAGCCCAACCTCTCCATTAGTCTGCCTGTGCTTTTGGGGTCACCTCCCACCGGCACATTTGACTTCCATCACCTCCGTGTTCATCTTTCGGGCTTTGGTTGTATGCTGCCAGCCACTTCTCTATTATCTCTAGTTCCTGTTACAGCCCCCCAGCCAGACTAACAGAAATGAAAAAGGAACACATTACTGAGCAAGTGAGGGAGACTAAGAGAGATGTGGCAGTCTTGAAGCAAGCAGGAAAACAAAGGAATGAATATTTTGTTCCAGTTGTGAGGGAAGAACTCTCATGGTGGCCTTGTGGAGATGGGCTTCATGGCTAAATGCAGTCACGGTATTTTCTCCGATTCCAACGCTGCTTTGCGAACACCACTGTGGACCAAACTGTGACTTCCTGTTTCCTGTGGCCAAGCTGGTGGATGAAGAGGGTCTTATTTAACCAGGCTGACATCCTAAGTCATATGTGCTCCTCTCCATGGTAACAGCAGGACATACAAGTGAAGAACACCAAAACTACCCCCCCCCCCCATTGGCCACAACTGACAATCATAACTGTGGTTCCTGGAGCAAGTGGGGCCATAAAATCACCAAGCAGAACCTATTCGGATCAAAAACATGTTTGTTTTAGACTACACTAGAACCCCTTGAATGTTTGGCATCATAACACTGGTGTGGTTATTCATTGCTGGACCTGGTGCTGAGACACAGGATCCCCGAAGGAGGACCATGATGTGTAACTGTCTCTCTTTGTGGTTGTTTGAGAAGAAAAAGCAGAAGACAAGCAGTCGCTAATGGAGTCACTTGCCGAAGCTTTTTTGGCTGCGATTCCTGCACATGCAGTGTCTCCCTGATGTTCAAGTAGAGCGCTGTTGATAATCTTCAGACTTCCATCTCATTAGATAATGGGAGGACAAGAAACCAGAGACTCTGCGTGTGTTAAGATGTTTACTACCTGATGGACTGACATGATTTATGCTCTCACCAAGCCATGATGTAAAAAAAATCACTTCAGTTAGTTTTGCCTTTTTCCCCCTCTATCTCTTCCCCTTCAACTTTTAATCACACCAGCACTTATTTCGTGAATGCACTCATTGAGCCATGGGTGTTCATCAGAGGCAGGCCTTCGGAGCTCTCTGCTGGAATGTTTTACCTACCTGGCCAGCCGTTTGGTTTGAAGGGGTTTCATTAGGCCGGGCACATTGCTAAATGCCACATGTAGGCCTATATTTCCTTCTGCTTAGTAACCACAAGTTCCAATAAGAGCGGATCCCAGTCCTGCACACATTCTCCAAGACCTAGGAGAGGAAGTTCTGGTAGCAGTGGACTGGTCTGGGTCACTGGGCAGCCTGGAGCTGCAGGAATTGAGCCATGAGAGGACAAAGCTCAGCACTTATCAAGTAACAAACTGTGCTGCAGAAAATGGGGCCAAGCAAGGGAGGGGGGTTGGAACATGTTGCCGGGATGATGCTGGCCCTTGGAGAAACGACCTCAGGTGTTTCTGTTGAGTACCACTCACCCCCAGGGCTTCACCAGTCCTGGGGCCATCATGGAGGTCAGGGTATCCCCCGCAGCCCACCTGGGAACAGACCACTCGGGATGGTAACTGAATGAATGCCGATGTGTTTGCAGGTGCTGGAGCAGTGGGACCTCCAGGGCAGCCCCCAGACCAGCCTCTCTGCCCCTGTCCTCCCCCAGAGCACCCCATTCCCAACCCACCACCTGCACAGGGCCTCAGTCCCCGACTCGGCCGAGGGCTTTGATCTGAACAAGCCTGACCCCTATGACCTCTATGAGAAGTCCCGAGCTATCTATGAGAGTAGGCGTAAGTAACCACCCACCGTTTAATGCTCATGTTCCAGCTGGTGGCACGCCCACACACCTCATTGGATCTCATTGGCCAGTATGAACAGCATCTCTGATGCTTCTGTTGACATTATGGTGGCCGATGAGAAGAAGCCCTACTGTGATTGTTGTGTTTGTAGTTGCGCATCTTGGTGAAATCGATGCAAAGAAGAGCAAATTTGTCCACAGAAGGGCTCAAGGGGTTCAGTGTCAGTTAAAGTTTACTTGTATAGCTGGAACATCTTTGTTATAAAGAGGTGAAACATCTATTCATCTATTCAAACATTATATCGGAACCAGCTGTTCGGCTCGGTTCAGCTTTGATGAAATATTTCCGTTCCTGTAATACTGAATACATTCCTCTTCCCAGCTTGTTTTCCAGCATGTAAGGCACCGGTTGTGTCCCCACTCTTCACATTCAGCTTTTTATTTGTAAAATAAGCCATCCTGTGCAAGCGCTTCTTTCACACAAGGAATGAATGTTAGAAAAGTTAGAAAGCTGATAAACTTACCAGGAAATAGATCATAACTGCAGGTGGAAGATAAGAGAAGGTTTCGATCTGAACTACAAGTGGAAGACTATCAAGAGGGTTAGATCAGAACTGTAACTGGAAAGCCATGAGGAGGGTTAGATCAGAATTACAATTAGCTATGACGATAGCTGGGTAGTCCTTATGAGTCTAGCATACTTGGTACCACTGCTGACTAGTGAGACATATATGGGATGTGTGGCACATTAAAGGACTCTGAAAGAGTCCTGGTCTAGTAAGGTGGATATTCTTGGGATTGTGCTAATTCTGGCTGGGATCTTACTTTCCACTCATCTCTCCCGAAGCACTCCCTGAAGAGACAGTGGTGTTTTTTACACACTATAATGAGGGACTCTCCTTTATCTGTTTGACACAAGTAAACCCACATCAACTTTTTTTTTTCTCTTTAACTGCAGCCCCAGAAATAAAACAGAGACAAGAATACTCTTATGACACCTTAACATAATGTGCATTACATAAAAAGCACTTATTCATTTGCATATGTGGTTCACTGGTTGCTTGGGTGAATGTCCCTACTTTACCTATATTTATATAACTTTATATGTAACTGCTTTTCCATTTTGAATCTCTGGTGTAACTACACTTTGATTCTGGGTTGCTGCATTAACTTTCTTGGTTGCTATTGGGTGACACCGATACCGTAACTTGGATGATACAGTGACGGCGACTTGGGCAGAACCTCGCTCCTCGCTGTGGGTGGGGAAAGACCCCCTGGTAATGTTATGTAAGGTGAATGTTTGTGGAGATGACAGGTGCTTTTAGAGCAGTGTTTCCCCACCCAGTCCTTGGGGACCCACAGTTGGTCCATGTTTTTGCTCCCTTCCAGCTCCTTGCCACATTTTTGCTCCTGCCAGAAAGTCCCGCACCTTGACCACCACATACACAAAGTCAGCAACCTAACATGTTTAAGTCTCATTTGAAGGGATTAGGGTCAGTCCCATATGTTCTAGGAGAGATCCATCATTCTTCTTAGGTAGGAACTTTAGGAATTGGGTCCTGAACAGAGTATCCATGCTACCCATAGATGTATCTGTGGTGACCATAGGCCCCACCTCAGTCTTGCTGTCATGTGGATCGACGTCGGTAGGCACACACTAAAGGTTTGCTTTTTGTTTTTTTGTATCGAGTTCTGTGGCAGACGTATGTGCTCAGAAGGTGACAGAAAAAAATCTGGGTTTGTATATTACTCATTTGAAGGTAAAGGCAAACCTCGTTCTGATTTACGGAATCTGAGTCTGTTTGTACCTCTGTCAGATCGCTGTCTCATCTTAAATCTGCAATGACAAGACAGGTGCCATTTTTTTAATTCTGGTTTTAAGATCTCAGGAAGCCTCGGTGTGAATAATCACACCAAGCGTCACGATTCCCGGTCGGCTGGGGTTCGCACCCTGGTGTGGTGTGTTACAGTCTCTGCCAGAGGGGTCATGGCACATTCCGCGATGAGGTTCTGAGCCCTATAATGAATGATACACCTGGAGCAGCAGGCAGGAGGAATGGGCGCACAGCCCCAAGACAAACGTGCGCTGTATGTGGGTTCCGTGGTGAATTTCTGTCAGGCCTCGTTGCGTCTTTTCTGTGTTGTCTTCAAACAATGGTCTCGGGGAAACTAAAGGTTTATAAAAAAACAAAAATGTAGTAACCTTTTTAATGACAAATAGGCTGGAACTGGGAAGACTTCCGTAGCTTGGAGGAATTTTGGAGTGCAGTGTTGTTTACTACTGTCACATGTCCTTTGTTGACGTCACCGTTCTGCAACAGTAAACTGTCCAGACTTTCCATGAGAGCCCTGGGTGACACGTGTATGAAATTTTTGTTTGAATGTTTGCCTCTGTTTCTGGTGGGGGTTCCTCGCGATTCTGTTCAGCCCCCCGCGTCCCCTCCCTCACCCGGTCGTCACATTTACCCGGCACTTACTCTGTCTCCACGCAGAGCCGGGGCTGCCCCGAACAGCCTTTCGAGTGGATCCCTCCGGCAAGTACCCCCTCATGCTGTGGTCATGCCGTCGTCTTACCTTTTCCAATTCGCTCAAACGCTCACCCACCTGCTTGGTTGGACTGTTCCCAGGCTTTCTTGTCATCTGGTGTTTCCCTTTCACCTGAACCTTAGTTTTCATCGCTGCGATATCTTTTCTTTTTTTGTCCATTAACCATTGAAGCCACTGTCCCGCTTACGATCCTGCTTCTTACACTCGCACTCGCCCATGTCCTTTCCACAATGCTCATTCCATTGTGTCTCTATGCATCAGTTTGTTTGCACCGAAGCTTCTGACCCAAGTTTTATGTTTCCATAAAAGGGGCAGGTCTTTGGATTTAGTCTCAGAAAATTGACTTTGACATACTTTGACTTTGATATCTCGCAGTGGCCATAAATATAGTCTTCTCTTCTGGTCAAATGGGAAGTACAGTCAGGCTGGTAAATTAGATCAACAGGTCAGTTCTCATGGACATTATTGCTCAGCATAAAGGCAAAGACCTTTTATGCAGCGAGGTATGAGGAGAACTGGACCAGCCATAAGTCATGCCTAGTTTTTAACCACGTTTAACAGGCCAGCACATATTGTGTGTGTGAAGGTGACCTCCCGTTGTTTATATTCCATGGGAATGGTAGCTTCCACATGTGAGGCTCTGATTGCAATGACCCTCACATCCAAGGAAGTCAAAGAAACATGTTGATGTGACCATGGTGCTGTTGTGCCAGGGTCCGAGTACCTGGAACTGGACGTCCACCTGCGCCGGCAGAAGTCCGGCTTCGGATTCCGGATCCTGGGAGGTGACGAGGCGGGACAGGCTGTGAGTCCGGAGGCTCGTGACAAGGCTCGTATGGGACGGGCTTGAAACCCTGTCGATTTTTCTGACTAATTCATCGCACCGCAGAAGCAACCCTAACACTCAGCTCTCTGTTCCCCATCACATGAAACTTGTAAAGTAGCGATATTTCAGTGCCGCACTGGACGAATCAAAAGGGATGGATCAGCAATACTTTCACCATTTTTCCATGATCTTCCCTGTCCTTCACTTTATTGAACACACTCTCTTGAGTGTATTAGTCATTCTGATTCTCTTCACATCTCAGCCATGACCTTTGACCCATGATGTGTCCTGGGGGAGCTTGTTAACCCTCATTTCCATCCACAGATCTTGATTGGGGCAATCATCGAGAAGAGCCCAGCAGATCGGGATGGGCGGCTCCGGCCGGGTGACGAACTGGTGTTTGTAGATGGTGTCCCAGTGCTGGGGAAGACACATCGGCACGTCATTGACTTGATGCACGCGGCCGCCCGCAACGGACAGGTCAACCTGACTGTACGGAGGAGAATCCAGGGAACAGGTGAGCAGTCAGAGTTTGATGTTGTGCTGAGGGTCGCACCTGAAAGTACATGACAAATTAGACATGCGTGCCTCCTCTCAGCCTGTTAGCCTTCTGGTCCTCCTGCTGGACCTGACCTATTACGATGACACTTGAAATTCTCAGCGGACTGCTGTGAAGAACTCCACCCGACCTGGTCCCGAAACGTGACATTTGTGCAGCCGCTTTGTTGAAGGTGTACGACGTGCCCTGGTCTTTTGCAAGTTTATCCTGAGATGCCCTGGCTGTGATTGGCATTAAGGATTATGCAGAGATCCCTCAGGGGGTTGTTAATATACCCTTTCATCCACCTGCTGGTTCACCTGTGAGGCTCCTGTAGGAGCTGACTGATAACAGCTTTGGCTCCAGCGACAAGCTCATGCACCCAGCTGTGACTGGGCTGGCCTCCCGCCTCCCGCCTCCTGCCTCCCTTTAGCTTCCAGCCCTTCCTTTCTCTCACTTGCTTTTTCTCCACCCTACTGGGTCTTCTCCTCACTTGAGCTGTCAGGTAAAGAGCGGTGGGATTCCTCATGATGATTGCAAGTCCTTGGTGCGTCCCCTCATTACCGCGCCCTGCTGCTCCTTTTGTCGGCCTCTGAGGCTTGGGAGCACACTGTGCCTCCCTTCCCGACTCCCCACAGTGCAAGCAGGGCTCTCCCCTCTGGCTTACCTGCCTCCTTCAGGGTCCATCCTCGTCGGTTGATTAAGAGGAGCACTCCTAGAGATGTCGAAGGAGCTCTGAGAGCTGTCTTTTATTACATTTGCATTTATTTATTTATCAGGCACTTTTGTCCAAAGCAGCGTGCAAGTGAGACAAGCATTATTACCATTAAATTTTGATCAGTAGATAGCCAAACGCAAATTGGATGAGGAGGAGATTTACAATTTGCTGCCCTTCAGAAATTATTCAGAAATTTTCTTTGATTAAGCGGATGACTTCATTTGCAGTGATTACAATGTTTATTTTATTATGTTTTATGTAGATTTAGTCTTAAACAGTCAGTAGTCTGTTTAAGATCCAGGATTTTGAGTTAGCAGGATTTTAACTCCTTGGTCACCATTTCGGATGACTCATCCTCAGTGCTGTGTTTGAATCACTAGCGCCACCTAGCAGCGAACCCTGTCCTGAGAATGGCCGGAGCCCGGGCTCCGTATCCACGCAGCACAGCTCCCCCCGGAGCGACTTTGCCTCCAGCTCCATCGCCCCGGGGCCGGCCACGGGCTGTGGCTCCGCTCCGGAAGCCCCGCCTCCCCAGGGTGCACAGACCAGCGACGTGGTGATCCACCGCAAGGAGAACGAGGGCTTCGGCTTCGTCATCATCAGCTCGCTGAACCGCCCAGAATCCAACGTGACCATCAGTAAGTATCCCCAGGATAAGGCGTTGCCATGGCGTCTCCTTGGTCACGGCTGGAGAACTTGCAAGTGCGGGTTCCTCTCCATTAGCTGTCGACTATTAACACAGGAGGTCATCTGACTTTCTTCAGCAAATGTGGGTAATTAATCAATTAAAATGTGGGGTGCAAGGTTTAAGAAACAGGCTTAATGCACCTGCATGCCCTATTCCACACATTGCCCATTTATATATATATATATATATATATATATATATATATATATATATACACATATATATATATACACACACACACACACACACACACACACACACACACACACACACACACGTACGTTGGCGTACCTATCTAAAATGGGGACCTTCCATTCATTTCTATGGGCAAAACTCTAATTCCAATTATGACACCCTTAATCTCTACCCAGCCCTAACCTTAACCATAAGTAACCAAACAAAATACAAGAGTTTTGGAATTTTTACTTCACAGAATTCACAGATTTTTTTTTTTTAATTGGGGTTATCCAAATGGGGACCTGAGAAAGTAAGGAAGTTTCAGGTTTCACCACACTTTGGGGATGTTTTGGACCCCGAATGTGAACTATGCAAACCCACACACACCACAGTGGTGTAATCATACCTTTTTGGGGAACACTCATTCATTTCTAATGCTAATGCTAACAATGACTACCTTAACCCCTACCCAGCCCTAACCATAACCATAAGTAACCGAACAAAATACATTTGTAGTTTTTTCATTGTTTTCATAGATATTTATAAAATAGAGTTTTCCCATATGGGCACCAGGAAACTGGTCCCCATAAGGTAAGAAAAAAACAGGTATTCATCACGTTGTGGGGACATTTGGTCCCCGCAAGGTAAGGTAAAGCTGGACCTTAATTTATGTGTGTATTTTTGACACAACTACTGTAATGTTGTATGTGTATAATCTATCCCACTTGGGGGAGTCCATTCACCCAGCCACTTTACCCCAGTGCAATCTGTGGAGTTAAATGGCCACGATCATCTGTCTCTCTTTGTGAGACCTGTGATCTCATTACTGATATCATGTTGACTCCTAGTGTGGGATCAGCCTTTTACAATATGTTCAGAGCCTATTTGTCAATGTGTTATTCTAACTACGTACCCCGGAGAGGAAGCTTCCCATATCTCTCCTCCAATCCGAACAAGGAGGACGTTTGTGGGGAGCTTGACAGGGACTTCATTCAGTGCCAGTCAGCACAAATCAGCAGTAAATTAAACTCCAAATCCAGATGGGGCAGATGCGAGAAATCACATCTTTTCATTTGCATTTCTCATGCTTTTATAAGTTTTTATAAGAACCAATCCCCAAGCACCTGAATGTAGAGTCCATATTCATACTTGCACAAAAGCAATCAAAAGAGTGGAAGGAGATCTAGGCAGTATAGCTTTTCTTTGCTCTGTATTCAATATTCAGCAGCTTTTCACTGTCCTCCTGTCAGCTTCTGGACATGTACTTCTTGGACATGTACTTTTATAGTGATGAATGAGAATTTTGAGTAGAGGTTCTTTTGTTTAATTGAGCCGCGTGTGTGTGTGTGTGTCTCTGTGCACGCGGCCGCCCACGCAGCCGTGCCCCACAAGATTGGCCGCATCATCGAAGCCAGCCCGGCCGACCGCTGCGGGAAGCTGAAGGTGGGGGACCGCATCCTGGCCGTCAACGCACAGTCCATCGTCGATATGCCACATGCCGACATCGTCAAGCTGATCAAGGACGCCGGGCTCAGCGTCACGCTGCGCATCATCCCGCAGGAGGGTGAGTGTGGCGCCACGTGCCCGCGTCACAGAGGGATGGGCACACACTGGGGAGGGGATCTCCTCATTTATTTAGCAGATGCTCGACTGATGGGGTCAGACAGTCCCTGGAGTGATGCAGGTTAAGGGCCATGTTGAAAGGCTCAGTAGTGACTTCAAGATTTGAACCAGTGACCTTTCAGTCATAGGAGTCCTAACCCAGTGAGCGATACACATATACAGTGTTTATTCCTCTGTTTGGGAATTTACCTTAATTTCAAGTTGAGAATATAGAGCAGGGTTCTTCAAATCTGGACCTCGATTCCAAATCCAGGCCTTGTTTTCAGTTCTCCCAGGTAGTTAGTTTAATAATTACTGATTCTGATTGGTCAGAGGCTTCACACTTGACTGACAGGTAAAGGAAGGCTGGAAAACCAGCAGTGCTCGGACCTCGAGGACCGTGATTTGAATAACCCTGATATAGAGTGTTTATTCCTCTGTTGGAGGATATGGTTTAATTTCCTGCTGGGAATGTAGAGTGTTTATTTTTCTGATTGGGAATGTGGTTTAATTTCCTGCTGGGAATGTAGAGTGTTTATTTTTCTGATTGGGAATGTGGTTTAATTTCCTGCTGGGAATGTAGAGTGTTTATTTTTCTGATTGGGAATGTGGTTTAATTTCCTGCTGGGAATATAGAGTGTTTATTTTTCTGATTGGGATTGTGGCTTACTTTCCTGCTGGGAATATAGAGTATTCATTCTTCTGATTGGGAATGTGGCTTAATTTCCTTTTGGGAATATAGAGCATTTATTCTTCTGATTGGGAATGTTGAGAAGGCCAAGTTTTAACATTCCTGTGTGGGAATGTAGAGAATGTTTGTTTAGAAATGGGAATAGAGACAGTGATGATGCTTCTGCAAGGAGCATAAGAGAGCCCTGAGTGACAGTGTGTGGTATGTGCTGTGTTCCCCTTCCAGAGATAAGCAGCCCACCCTCAGCCCCCAGCTCAGAGAAGCAAAGCCCTATGGCCCAGCAGCACAGCCCCATAGCCCAGTCCAGCCCGGCACCCCAGACCAGCCCGGTGGCCCAGCACAGCCCGGTCACGCAGGCTCCAGCCCCAGCCCCAGCCCCACCTCCTCAGCTCTACAGCCACGACGGCAGGTAAGGTCACGCCGTTCAGCAGCAACCCTGTTATTGTGTTTACTACGGTTAAGGAAGGGCTGCTTTTTAGCATTAAGTGTGTGAAACTGGCCTTGTGGATCCCTGGTTTTGGCTTTCTGATGATTTATGGGACCAAGCCTGAAGTCTGTCCAGTTTGTTGTGTGTTCTTTAGCTTACCTCTTACAGACTCCTAAATTATTTATTTGTTTCACGCCTTTGAGCAGAATTTAAATCATTTACGAAGCTTGGCTTTGGGAACTGTTTAATACAATATGGATATCCCTTCTTTTAGCTTCCCCAGCCTTTTGAATTGAATGGTCCTCCTTTTATTTTTGTTTTCTTTTCCGAGCTGTCAGGGGAAAGTAGTTGGTTTTACCCCCTAGTACCCTGCAACTGGCTTGGGGCTAATTCAGCAGAGTCTGTGCCAGAAAGGCAGGCTGGACTGTTGTGATTGCGCTTGACAGCAGGCGAGGTCTGTAAAGAGGTTCAATGGCGACCTTTTTTAAGGGAGTTGTCTGGCAGCTACAGGTCGGAGGTGAAAGCGAGGCAGGATGTCAAACCAGACGTTCAACAGCCCCCGTACACCGACTACCGCCAACCTCCCGTGGACTACCGACACCCCCCGGTGGTGGACTACCGGCAGACCTCCACGCTGGACTACAGGCACCCGCCCCTGATGGACTACAGACCCGACGGCCGACAGTTCCCCATCTCTGACTACAGACAACCCCAGGTGAGAATACAGTTCATAATCCGGGACAACAGACAGTCACAGGTGAGGATGCAATTTAATAACCCGGACGTCAGACAGTCTCAGGTGGACGGATGATTTAATAAGAAGGACGACAGGGAGTCGCAAGTGAGAATGCAGTTTAATGATCCAAGATGACAGACCATCATAGTTGAGAGTGTAATTCCTGCCTGTACGTTGTGTACGTCCGCAGTACTGAATACTAAGAGGAAACAAACTAAACCATGCATCTTAATAGCCATGCGTCGCTTAATGATGGAGATATGTTCTGAGAAATGCGTCGTTTTATGCGATTTCATTTGCAGTGCAGACAAACCTACACAGTACACCCTACTACACACCTAGGCTATATACTACAGCCTAAATAACAATAAAAAGCACAGTATAGTAAATGCATAAACCAGTAATATAGTTTATTATCATTATCAAGTATTATGTATTGTATATATCACCACAAACACGTGAGTAATGCAATCCACCACAACATCGCTAGGCAACAGGAATTTTTCTACTCGTCATCTTATGGGAGCGCCGTCGTATATGCGGTCCATTGTTGGCCGAAACGTAGTTAGGTCACGCCGTGGGGTAGGTCAGTCTCCTCAGGGGCCACACAGGATCCACTGCACCTGATACCCTGACCTGTGTCCTCACTAGCCGAATGTGTGACTGAGGCATGTCAGTGCATAAATGCGAGGATAGTCAAGCCACGCCCTCTGGATAAACACGGACCAGAAGAATCCTGTCATTCATCCAGTCAGACCAAGCTGATGAAACATGAACAAGCTGAGAGTCGCATCTGGTTGAGGCTGGTTGAAGCTTAGATACAGCCTTGCTTATCCAGGCACACAGACATGTAATAGCGTGTGAGTGCATCCTGCTTGAACCGGAACAATGTTTTGTTGCCGGCGTCTAAACCACCACGCCACCCGCTGCCACAGGACTTTGACTTCTTCACCGTGGAGCTGGAGAAGAGCGCGAAAGGATTCGGCTTCAGCATCCGCGGCGGGCGGGAATACAAGATGGACCTGTTCGTGCTGAGGCTGGCCGACGATGGACCTGCCGTCCGCAATGGAAGGATGAGGGTGAGACGACATCACCCCCAACCCCCCACCCCCCTAAACAGATTTACCCCATCACCTTACTCAGAGCTAAGCTGCTGAGTAATCGCCTTAATTGAGCGATGATTATTGCACGTCTGTTACGACCCTGTGGCTCGCACTGGTAATTCATTGATCAAAGCAACCAGCCCTGTAAATAACGGCTAGAAGACTGTACCATGTGGTGTGGAGGGGGGGCATTGTGCTCTTCTGCCTTCTGCTGATACGCCTCCTTACTTCCCTCTCCGTAATACTTTAGGAAATTCTGCATTCTGTCCTTTCACAGCATATTAACACATTCCTGCTATCCGTGCTGGAAGGGTAGCTGCTTAGTAACTAGGCCTCAGACTCGGTATGCAGACATTTTTATCTCTGAACAGCCAGGAGAATATTTAGAAGCACCTGTGCTTAAAAAAGAGCACGATTATCATCTGAAAACAAGCCCGTTACCCTTTATAATCAGCTTAATGGGCCTGGCATTTCCTCCCTGGCTTCATCATAGTGTCTAAACGCTGGTGTTGTTTTTTTTTTTTTTGGCTCCAGTAGTAACTTCGTTTTTGATATCTGGGCAACAGCAGGGGATGGGATTAGATACTGCTCCGCAGAGGGAATCGCGCGACATCCATCCGTCGGCACTCTTTCACTCCGGATCATCATCCTCCTCCATAGTGATGTCAGGAAAGCCGTCATTTTTTATCCGTAATGAACCTGTCAGGGATAACGCCTCTAAAATACCCTTGAGGAATATCATTCTCCCACCGCTGAGCAGTAGTAAATGCAGGCCCGCCAGTCCGTTACCGGAGCCAGCAGAGTGGAGATGAAGGATTGGCTGAATTTCATCTCCTCTCCTCTTCAGTGGGGCTAATGAGATTTATATCCCCGGTAATCATTTCTGGAAAGGCTGCTAAAAAGTGTTAACTCCGGAATTTAAACTCCGACCCTGAGCACACGCCTCTCCACACTGCCTTAAAGGCTTCCTAATCGCCCTGTGCCGGTCTCGTCGGGGTTGGGTCATTAATAAGTCTTTTTGACAGCTTATCTCTGCAATTGTGTCCAAATTATTCAACATTGTCCTATTTAAAACCTGTGGAATGAACAGTTTTGATTAAAAGCTGTTTAAATCGTGGGTTTTTTTGTAGAACGGGAAAAAATATCGCAGTTTTTTTGCGTAGTTTATCTTCTGTGCATTGATATGCATGCATTAGTGTGCAAATTTTTCAAAATTGGCAAGGGTCCATGATGCAAAATACAAATGATGTAGACAAAAATAATTGTTGATATATGTATATTCATTTGCCTAATTAGTTACCTAATTGTGTTTATGGCTGGAAATAATTGCATTTCGATTATATTTACATTTTACACAGCGTCCCAGCATTTTTGGAAACGGGGTTGTGAATAATCGTTAGTCACGAGGTTAATACGGCAGGCCACACGAGTCCTGGTATGTTTTTGAGTGTTGGGTGTTTAATAGGCAAGGCATCCAGTGTCTCAGCTCTGGTTAAATGAGAGCAGCCTCCCTCGGAACGCCTGTCCCCACTAATGGGGGAACCTTCCGTTCGTTATGCTGATCAGCCCACCGGTGCATGCTGAAGCATGTCCATTGTGCGTCAGTAAAGTGCGTCATCCCTCCCTTGCTCCATCATTCCCGCCCCCCCTTGTCCTCTGCGAGTCATTCCTCCACAGCTAAGCCCTCCCTGACCATGTGGTACCTTCTTGGACACGCCCCTTATGGATTCCCCGCCCACTTTTTTCTTTTTCTTTAATCCAGCTATTTAGTGGACTGGTGTTTCTGCGATACTGAGAAATGTCTACCATCCCCAATTGCTTTTCTGGTGTATGAATTAAAAATGGGAGTCATGTAAAGAGTTTGGAAAACAGCACAAGCCAAACCCCGCCCCCCCTCCCCCATTCCTGGTGCCGCTGACCATCCCTCACTCACAAACTGTCACAAACAGCTGCATTAATTAATGCAGAGCTATATAGGTAGTCGCGTCAAATGAAAGGTTTATATGCGCCATAAATGTATTATTATTTATGCATAAAATAAATTGCGGTTGTAATAGAATAATAGCCTAATAATAATATTGATATCGTTTTTTTATTATCTTTAACTTTCATAACTGTTTCAAACACTGTAGAACAATGCATTTTTTATTACACTAATTAATTTTAATTTTCTATGAATTGCTAATTCTATCATAATATTAAAATGTATTTGATCTCAAGATTAAACTTAAAGCTCATTATATCTTAGATATAACCACAGAAGTAGGTGAAACAAGGTTAAATAGGTTATGTTATCTGTGAAAGTGTTTTTGGCCCTCTGGTGATTAAAGTAATTTCTCTCCCACGGTCCGGCATTATGGTACCCTATACCGAATGATGTATTTTGATTAGATTGCTCTGGGATCACCCCTGACGGTGGGGTCCACCAGCCTTTGGCCCTAACAGACAGCCTAATTGCTCCTACTCAGAAACGTCAGGTCAGGTGAAAGTTCAGCAGTGACACGTCGACACAACGGCAGCATCTCGGTTAATCAGTGACAAACATGCTGTTTCTCTTCATCGGCTGTTTTATGTATAAACTGACTCAGCCTGACAAAAATTTGACAAAACAATTTTCTGTCCACATCTCAGCCAGTTATTTAACCTCTTCCACTGCTGGTCTTTCTGAAAAATGAGTGATATCGTGGGAAGCTCTCTGGTCAGAGCGGCGGGTAGATTCACACGATATGCAGGGTGGAATGGGAAGGAGCACTTTAAAGCTGGTGTTTCCTTTTCAGGATTAACAGGCCTGAGGCACAGAAAGGGGCAACACAAACCGAAGCATAAATGCAGCAATCAAGGGCACATGCAGTTTCTGTGAACGGGAAACAAGAAAGTCAGCAGCCAGCTTTGGAGGGCATACCAGTCCACAAGCGATGGGTTCTGGGTCAGGCTATAGACTGGATTCTGAACTGGGATCTGTACTGGTTTTTGGGCCAGGTTCAGGACTGGATTCTGGGCCAAGTTCTATGCCGGGGTTTGTACTGGTTTCTGCGCCAGGTTTTGGGCTAGATTCTTGCCTGGGGTCTGGCCTGGTTTCTGGGTCAGGTTCTGGACTGGACTCTGAGTCCGGTTCAAGCACTTACACGCACTCACCACCTTGCCATTCAGGTCGGAGACCAGATCATCGAGATCAATGGGGAGAGCACGCGGGACATGACCCACGGCCACGCCATCGAGCTGATCAAGTCCGGGGGGCGCAGGGTGCGGCTGCTGCTGAAGAGGGGCACCGGGCAAGTGCCTGAGTACGGTGGGTGCTCCTGAGTCCCCCTGACCCCCCCATCAGGGCACCAGCACATTAGGTCCCATCAGCTCTCATTAACTCCCTTGTGTCTAATAAGCAAAGTCTCTGAGGTGCCTGAGAGAATATAGACCACATTATTATTATTATTATTACAGAGTAAGTCTGTACGGGATAAGTCATTATAATTGTCATTATTATTATAGTTGTATTGCCATAATTTTATTGTCAGCTGGTTACGATCTTCTCTATTACAAAATTTAGTGTTTTTTTAGGGTATTTCAGTTAGTTGACCTTTGAGGAGAGAACATCAGCAAACATGAGTGCAAGCAGCAGAGTTCAGAGGTCACGGCACAGTAAAGATGGCCACCTTCCGCTGCTCCAGGCCGCCCCCTGGCTGCTGGTGTCCGTGCTTGTTGGTCTTGAAGGCCAACAGGACGCTGTTTGTAAAGGAAGCATGGGCCTTAAGTGGGATGAAATAGATTACAGTTTAATAATCAAAGCCAGCTGGACAGGGTTTACATCACTGAACGCTGCCTTTTAACGACAGGAAGAGAGTGAAGTCTCCTACTCAGGCCGCGTAATCACACATTTGTAAAAGTTCAGGCTGATTTGACTCTTTAGCACCTCAGGCCACTTATCTTACTTAACGACCTACTGGCAGTAAATAGAACAAAACTTAACTCTATACCATTAAGCATGCTAACTGCATTAACAAAATATTTAATTCTGTTCCAATAACCTGTATATCATTGGATAATTCTGTTTTCAGTCACTCTTTTAGACTAACAGTTCTGTAACACATTCTCACTCTTTTTAACTCTAATGACTGGTCTAGGCTGTTCCTCCCCTTCCTTTAGGAATGGTACCTCCCAGCCTCTCCATGTGCATGAAAAGTGACAAGCATGGCTCCCCCTATTTCTTCCTAATGGGCCACTCTAAAGACACGGTTTGTAAAACGCTGCATGCCTTCTTACCTCTAATTCTGCTGCAGCTGGTTGCAGTGTGTTTGCAATGTGACTTGTCTGGGCAGTAAGTTTCACCTCTCAGCAGGCTCACGGCTCCTGCTTCTACTCTAATGGCACCTAAAGGTCTGTTCTGGAATCTTCTTTGTAAGAAAGGGCACCCTACAGACACTGCATTGACACCCTGGGCCTGCTTTCCATGTTTCTCTGTACATGGCTTGCCAGAGAGAAATTGTGAGTTTGGGATTGTTTGGAGAGGATTATCCATAAATATGAAGGTCAATAGTTGTTGAGGTCCCCCTTCACCCCTGGGGGGTATCCATTGGTGCTGTCGTCATGGCAACCACACGCCAACTTTATCAATCATGTGGAGGAAAAGCTTATATAAGGTGAACCATGAAAAATTCTTCTTCCCTGTACCTCATTTTCTAAGTAACATCCAGAACGGGGCACCAGATCCCGGGCTCTTCACACCAACATTGCCCCCTCAAGCTTCCCCCTCCACCCTTGTTCACAGCGTTCACCCACCTGCTAAAATCGAGTCCTGAGGATCTGCTCTGCATCTTAAGCTCAATAGCAGGTAGTTTTGAAACGTAAGAATGATCCAGAAGGCTCCTGTTTCTCAGGTGCCAGAAAAGCCTTTATGATGAGTTTACATCATCCATTTCATGCCATCTATTCTGCAGGAGCATTTAGCCAAGAGCTGGGTACCCCACGGTACAAACAGAGAGCTCAGACTTTGCCTTCACGGCCAGCAGTTATTGATGGAATGCCATTAAACTAATTGGTCATCCTTCTCTGCACGATTGGTTCCTATTACTCATGCTAAAAATAGACACCACACAGTGTTGACAGGTTTCACTGGTGACCACACTCAGTTTTTAATAGTTCTCACTTACTGCTCTACAGTGACGTTTCAGGATTTATTATCGTATTTTTTTTTATAATCATGCCAGAGCTGGGTAGATCCACTCCGGTGCACATCTGAAATGGAAAAACTGGAATAACCTCAGTTGGGGTGATGACATCAGTGTTGGGTGAACGGTGCGACCCCCAGGCTACCAACCAGGACCCTCCTGGCAGGGAGCTCTGTGTTGCCCCCTACTGGCACTGCTGAGCATTTGTATGGGATGTTTCTGGGTGGTTGCTGAGCGGATGCCAATGCAGTGCCAGGTCAGCTGAGGGAGGAAACAGTGCTGTCGCTTTTTTTGGCATCAGCGCTTAAACCGGAAAACATCTCATCAGCACAGGAGTCTAGCAGGTTGGCCGTGAGCAGTTGGTCTCTAGGGCCCTGTTATTACATAGTGCCCAAATAATGGCTTTGATCACACCAGTGAGCACTGATTGAATAAAAACTACCCAACCTGTTAGTGTCTGATGGTTCAGCCCTGTACTCAGCCTAAGGACCTTCTGCCCAAACACACAGCATTATGGCTGGTTCATACTCCGTACTCCACATGCGTACTAGCGCTTATGACACGTTTGATGCCATCGTGCGCCTCCGCGGACAAACGCCTGCTGCACTCCAAATTAGTGTTTTGATGACCGTTGAGGTAGTTTGCAAATCCTACAGACTATATACAAGGTAATAAGACATACATGTAAATGCGTGTGTATGGGTGTGCAGACTTGTCTCAAATTGAAAATCTCACGCCAGCCAACTGACCACTTGGCAGCCCTGTAAGTCGGCTCTCTTCATTTGTAAAACAGGAATGGACACAAACACAATGCTGTGGTACTTGTGCAGGGAACAAAAAAAATATATATATATATATATTATTATTATTATTATTAATAATAATAATAATAATAAAAAATACACATTGTGCGCATGTGTAAAATGTATACGTAAGTGTTGCGCTTCTGCAGAGAAGTATGAACCAGCCTTTATTTTGCTTATGGTCTGCAGAACTTCTTGCCCTTCCTGTCCATGGTTTAGGAGCTTGACATTTAGACAGGACTTTCTCGTGGAGTTGGAGCAGCCGTGTACAGTTTCTGGGCAAACCATTCAGCCATGCTTGGTGATTGACAGTTGCCTGTCACTGATTTTAGCCCCAGAATTACAGAAAGCGTCCGGCCACTATGTCTGCATTGTGGGTGTCTCTGGAGGTCTGGCACACCAGTAACAGTGTTCTCTTGTCCCTCAGTCGACAGTCCCACCCCCTGGGATGCTCGGCCTGCAGCCTCCCCAAGTCTGTCGGAAGTAGCCCCACCCCCCGAAGCTCTGAACGCCACGCCATCACCGTCATCGCTTCCGGCCCCTCCCCTTGACCCCCAGCACCTACTCTCCCCGGAGACGGGCCGGGAGCCCATGCACGACAGCATGGCAGAGCACCTGTCCAGCCCTGGGAGGGCGGAGCAGGCCGCACCTGGGAGGAGGCAGACGGAGCACAGGGCCAGTGGGAGGGGTGAGCGGAAAGAGGGTGGCAGGTCCGCCCATCGGGGTGTCAGCGTGGGTGGACAGGGGACCCCCGAGAGCCCCGTGGGTTGGGATGAGCAGGTCCAGGAAAACTCCAAGCCCTACAGAGCCTCCCGGGGAAAATCCAAGGAGAGGAGAGGCGGTGAGAGCAGCGCCCCCCACAGGGAAAACAGGCATCTGCCACACTCCCTAAAGGCCACCGGGCTTGGAGACACACATTCCAACGTGAACGGTGGCACGCCAAGCAATGGAGGCAGCACAGACAGGCCAGCCCAGGAGAAATCCGGCCCCAGGGACCCAGAGAGAGTGTCCGTCGAGGCCCGTCCCTACCGGGGATCCAAGGGAAACAGCGGGGGCAGTGCCATGGCGGGCAGAAAGGCCACAGTGTCCCCCGGGCCCTGGAAAATCCCTGGGTCGGATAAGCTACCCAGTACACTACGATCTGGGACATCCACTGTGAGCAGATAACGCCATAAAGACTGCAGGCCAGGCCACACCAGGCAAGGCTTGGTCAGGCCTCCAACAGGCCCGCCAGCCGTCACCATCAGATGCAACACATGTTTTTAGAGAATCTTTTTTTTTTTATTTATATGGTATTTTAAATTATTTTGAGATATTACACCCACCACCTTAAAAACTCAAGGCATCCATTAAAAAAAAAAAAAAAAAAACTAGAAAGAAAAAGAAAAAAAACTGAATGTGTAGCATGATGGGAAGACTCCTATAGTGCTGAATCCAAACAACTCGACTGGAGGTGGCATAGGGGCGGGACCTGCCTTTAAGAAGCTCCGCCCTTCTCTTCCGGCAGCTGGCTGTGAAGCCGGATCACATGTCGAGGAGCTGGCCACTGGCATTCAGCCAGTGCTGGTTATGGCTGGATGCTTCTTGATGGGGTTTGCCTGACATGACCTTTTGTGCCGTTGACAAGGCAATGAAACAAAAAGAAATGATGTGGAAAAAGAGGATTTTAATCGACAGAAAGCTGCCTTAAAACTATCCTGAGATAGAAAGAAAGATATATCTTTAATAATGATCATTTAGATGTATAGATATATAGGTATATTATATAAATATGTGAAAACATGTACATAAAATCATTTCGGAGTATATGTACACGGGCAAATATACTGAGATGCTATTCAAGCAGGGAGAGTCTGGTGACACAGTAGGGCACTCTGACTCCTCACTGACTCGTCTCACTGACTTGTCTCAGCACGGTGTCCTGAAGCGTGGGTTGACTCACAGAACCCAAAATGACCCGGAACGGTTTCCGGTTTCCGTGCCACAAGAGGTCTGGGCTCTGTTTACCGCAGAACACGAGCCAAGCCACTGTGGAGGGATTCACCTTACCTGGGGGGCAGGAGGCTTCCTCCTGGCATGCGGCAGGGGCAGAGTGCCTTAAGTGGAGAGACCAGGCCGAGTTGCTAGTTTGAATGTTCACCTGTTGGAGGCAGCAAAGTGACACAAACTGAGCTGTGTGCTGCTGTCACTCTGCTGCAGGAGAAAAAGGAGAAAGTGCAGCAGATCAGTAATGGGCATAAATGCCTGTTTCTTCCTTACGCAGCGTTATATCACGATTCGTCTCATCTGTATCGACAGCTCAGTCACCTCCATGAAGTCAGTTTGCACCAAAAAAAAAATTTATTTTCTTATCATTGTATTATGGAAAAATCATTGTTTATGCCAGATCTGCTTTATTTTTATGTACATTTATCTGCTATCTAGTAACAGAATGAACGAATGAATTTTGCTTAGTCTGTTTTTGTCATATGAAGGATAATTAGCTCACTGTAGCTGACATCAAAATGGAGTATGGTTACAGTGGTGCAGGTAAATTTTTGCAGGTCATACCTGTTCGAGGCTGAACAGAGCGCATAGATTTAATGTGTGGAACTAAGGGGCATAATAAGCAATCACGCAGCTGAAGGATGCAAAATGTAATCTGTAGCACCCCCTCATGGTCAGACGTGGTGGTGCAAAAGGATGCAGTACCGGTCGTTTTTATAAAAAGCGTTCAGGAAAAGGGCTGGTTATCTCTCTGCTTTCACTGTACGAGTGCTGTTTTGTCCGCAATACGGACATTACTTAATGGTGTCATCATCGTTGCAGACAAACTGTCTGAATTTGACCGTATTTGAGCATTTCTCTGACGTTATTTGAACATACTTGGCAATTAGTATGATAGGTTTCCCATAAAAAATAAGACATCTGCTTTTCAGCTACGTGAAGGTAATTTATGTTTTTGTGTCTTACAAAAAAATCCACAATATATAACCGTTTACAGGAAGCCAGTCGGCGGCCAAACAGGCGTTCGGAAAGTGCTGAGCGCCAAGCGAAAAGTTCGCCCAACGTTACATTTGCGTTAAAAGAAACGTTGCAAGAATGTTATTATTACCGTCGTTGGACTGAGGCCTCGCGATTGGCCAAACAGGATCAGCAGTCACATCTACAAGGCAATCAGAGTTGTACATGGGTGAAGTTCTCGGTCAGAGATGACGCAACTGCAAGGAGACATCTATATGATTGACTTAATTGTTTTTGAACCACTTATCGCGTTAAATTCAAGCATGAATATTTAAACATCGTACCCCAGAGGCATATATATTTAATGCTTCTGGGAACATTTTCCCTAAAAACAAAATTATTTCGCAATTAGTAACATTTACTTATTACCGGATGTTGTTGTAAAACTAGCTGTTACATCTTATTAACGACGGATGTAATTCTAATTTGCTGACAGCCACTGTATGGGAATGCAAGGAAAATTAAGGATGTTTATTTCCATGGTAACGTTTCAATTATTTTTAATTTTTGGAGTGACACAGAAAAGATGTGCAATTTGAGTGTGAACACGCTTAGCAGTAATCAGTAATATATTCTGTGTTCAGTTACAGAAAAAGCATGCCCCTTTAAGAATCATTCAGAATAGCTATAGATTCATTCCTGACAATACGATACAGACACCGTTGCTGGCTGCAATCCCTTAATCTGTTTGGAAGACCCTGAATTATAACAAAGCACAAATATCAGCAGAAGATTGACAAAAGCCAATGCCACCCAGAGGACGGGTGGCATGTCCGGGAAAGGCGCGCTGCCGTCCTGCAGTTCAGAGCGATGCTTGTGTAGTTCGGCAGACTCTCACCTGTATGCTCCGTGTCGACTGGTTCAGTTTTCTGTGAACTGTAATACGTTTTCTATAGAACGGCGATAATTAAAAGGTGAGTCTTTGAAGGGTGGCGCTTACGTGTGAACACCATTCCGATCAGTAAACTGTGTAGTGTTAGCTGTGTATTTACCTTTGTACAGCTGTATCTCTATAAATATGATTCATTGTATTAATAATAGTCACAAAGACTGTAAGTGAGCAACTATTTTTATGAAATGCAACACTATGGATATATTAACTTTTGCAGAAATCTTGTTTACTGTATGATATTCTAAAATATTGTCAAATAAAATCTTGACACAGTGTAAAGTATTGATTTTGCATATGGTGCTCATTTAATTCTGAGTTTTGGGTGGGTGAATTGGGGTTATATACTTTCAAAGTACCGTGTCTAACCTGTTTAATAAAGTTGCATAACTATATATAAAAAAAGCCAAAGTGTACTCTTAGAACAAAAGGGTAAAAGTTTGTACCTTTGCATGTCACTGGGGCTGTACCCTTGTAATTGCATCTTTCAAGGTACAGAAATGGACTCTGAGGAACATCCTAAAGGCATAATCAGCATTAATATACCATCAATGGTACAGAAATATCTAGAGATGGGCGATCCACGTTTTTTCAGTTCCGATCCGATTCCGATACACAACTGCCGATACCGATACAGATTCCGATACAAGAGCTCTTTTTACTTTGTTATACTTTACATATTATTTTTTTTAAGCTAGTAAATACAGATGGAAAAAATGTATGACAAAAAATATTTAATTAGGCTACTACAAACATACATAACGTACTGTTCCACCTCAATATGAATATCTTCAAAGCAAATATACACAAGTGGCGAATGCTTAAAATTTTATGTAAAAATGTAATTTTTTTGCAGGCTTTGCTTCCTAGTCTCAGTGATATAAAAGTTATATATGCCAAATTTCAAGAAGATTGGATAATATTTAGAGGTTGCACACTTTGATCAGTTTTGTAAAAGTAGTAAAAAAAAATACGATTTTTCATTGTTAATTACTTTTATTGGGAAAACTAGAAATCACAAACTTAAAATAATATTAAAACTAGACACTAAGATTAATATATAGTATGACAGGCAAAACGTGTTATATTAATCAACTTTGAACAATGCAATCCCTTCTTTTGTTCGCTTGGTAACGACTTTTTTGTGATGCTCGACTACCATCAACAAGAATTGTTTTTGTTGTTCGTCCCTGACCGATTCCTTAAACTTTTTTATCTGAGCAATTCCTCTTTCTGCGGTATCATTGACCACCTTAAGAGCGTTCACATGGCTTCTTAGAGAATCACTGCAGTATTCTGTCACGTCGTGGATCCCAAACGATTCAAAGAACGTCTTTGTTTTATTAGTAACGAAATGGCTCAGGTCTTTTCCTTCAAAAACTAGGGTTTTACCCTCTAATCGTTTCATTTCCTTTTTCTTTGCAGGTTTGGTTTCTAATTTTTTTTTGTCATATTTTCCTTTTCAGCCTGAGTAATACGTTCATCCAAAAAAGCCAATCCTACGTTTGTTTCTGACAGATACCAAAGGTGTCTCTTAGCAACTGTGAGAGCACTTTTTTGAGGTCTGCATCTGGGTAAGTGCTCAGAAGCTGTAGCATATCCAAATAATTCTTTGGAGCCCATCGACTTACAATTGCCTCGTGGCAAAAGCGAACATATACTGTATGAGGCTGACAAAATGTGCAACCTGTTTCATTCCTTTCAATTCTCGTTGAGGAATATTCAACTGTTTAGTGAAGAGGACAATTATAAGTGCATATATTGCCTTTGCCATCCACCTTGCTTGATGCAGAGCCCCTGGGATCCTGAAACTGAAGTCGTTTTTAGACCATCCTCCTAGGTACAGGAGTGAGAGTTGTAATAACTCTTTGTAGTCTTGGATGACTTCTGTCTTTTAGGACATTTTGGATGTAGTTAACCATCTGCACTCGTTGTTCTTCTAGAAAGCCTTGAACGAGACATTCTTCATCCAGCATTGTCGTATATGACTTCTTATCAAGTGAAGCCCACAGACTTTGGAACTTCCAAAAAATCTGGATGTCAGGACCACTTGATGGTATGCCACAACACTCCTCAAACAGTATTAAACAATATTAGTTCATGGGTGTGATGACGGCAAGCCAACCACAACAATGTTTGTCCGAATTCCCTTTCAATTCTGGTACATGCCCCTTGGATCAGTCCTGTATTAGATGCTGTAGTATCAAAAGATATACTGATGATATTGTCACGTAGCCCAAATCGGTCCACTTCCCGAATAACTTCTTCAGCCATCTGCTCACCAGTGCCTTTCAGGGCAACAGGTACTGTAGGCCAAGCAAATGCTCAAAATCTTTGCCAGTCACTAGAACTGCAACTCTATCTTCCAAAGTTTTGACACTACCATGGGCAACTGAGGGTAACAGTTTACTATCCCAATGCAAGACCAAATGAGGAAGATTTTCAAAGAGTGTCTTTTCTTTGCCATTTTACTTCTATTGATCACCCGAGCTCAGTAAAAGGTAGATGGAGATACGGAAATCTTTGAAACATCGTGGCCAACACTCTTTGCAGTTGCTGTAAATGAAGTACTTGCTTGTCAAATAGAGAGCTGTTCTCGATCCCAAGTAGACATGAGTGTCTGATCAAGAGGTTTTAATCTAGGACTTGAACGTATTTTTTCGTTGCTGGAGGCAAAAACTCAGCCTCTTCGTCACTAGGTGCTGATGATGATGGAGATGAATCTTCCAGTATAACTGTCTTATTGATTTCAGCGATAGCTTTGTAATGTTTATTCTTATATGAATCTTTTTTTCTTCTTTTGTACACTTAGTTCTTATTTTCGAGGCGAAAACCTTGTCTACTCCACTCATTGACGAACTCATACGATCTTCTCTATGTGACCTAAGAAATTCTTTATCTTCTTGTGATACGCTAGTCATGTCCATCACATTTTGCCGGGAAATGTCAAATAACTCGACGAGATCACCTTTCCAAATCTGCCGTTTCACATTTGCTTTATCCGTGTTTCTCGATTTCTCTTTACCCAGATTTTGGTATTCTTTGTACAGCTTCTGTATACCAGCACGGATATTCTCCTCCGTCTTAACAGGGATATTTGCTTTCCTCCACACTTCCTGTAGTTTAGTACTGGTAGATTTAGCAGCATTCGAAAGTGTTTCTTTCATTTCCTTGTGATGGTAAATAAAAACTTAAAGTACTTGTTCCTTTGAAGGGAGCCAAGCTCCTAAAAACTCACCACTAGGCACCTTTTCTAGCAGCCAAATTCCTCTTTTGGTTTGTGTGTACGGAACATTTCATAGTTAAAGGAAAATTGGGTGACATGCATACACCAGGGATGGGGAACCAGATCCATGGAGAGCCGGTGCGGGTTTTTGGGATGACCTCACAATCGGCCAATCACAGTGGGTCCCCAAGACTGGAGTTGAGAACCGGTGCTTTATTATTGGCTGATTCAAAGATCCAAAATCCCATATCCACACCGGCTCTCAGTGGATCAGGCCCCCACCCCTGGCATAGTCACAATTACACACACATGCAGACATGCACACTATTATTCAGTTATTAAAACTGGTGCACTGTTGCATATTTGTTCTTTATGAATCTTTGATTTTAGTTGTGATTAACATACATTATGCACATTTGCATACATACCCACAAATTTTGCTGAACAAAAAAAAAATAAGAAGAAGGAGAACTTTGAATCACTTGAAATTTTTTTTACATCATTTATAATGATGCATTTAACCTGGTGCTGTGTTACAACTATCACTGACTATGGGGTAAATTGTAACATTTCACTCCATGTGTTTGAGGCTAAACCATTCATTGTCTGTTTCTGATACAGAGATAAAACCCATGCTGATGAATAGAAGCAATATGCAGGTAGTTTGTATCAAATTTTAAATATGATTGCATAAAAGAGCTCAGAGGTATAGGCAAAAATGTAAAAAATGTTACACCCATCCCTGGTCTCCGCTATGTATTTAGACATATAAATAATATTGGCTGATTAATAACTAGTTACTATATTATTTAAATAGTCAAGATGTTAATTTCCGATTGCAGGATACTGAAGAGTGGATCTTCATACTTCTTTTACGTTCAGACCATGCATGCTAACATGTCCTGTCTGCACACCAGAAGAGGAGAGCATGCTAGTTCACGCAAACCATCGGAAGGACATCCTAGATTATACACTAGACCATATTTTTTCCATAATGTGATCATTGTCATCAGCCAGTGCTACAAGAAGAAAAAATAGCTCTGCTGCTTTAATACTCCGGTACAGGCGGGGGCGCACATGCATTTTGATCCGAGTCGTTTTCACCGATTTAAGGTGGAATTGTTTTGTTACCCGGATACAAAACAGTGAAAGTCTCTGCACCCATTCAATATTGCATCCGCTCTATATGGCACCCATTCATCCCTGGTTATTATTACAGTCATAATGTCAGTTATGCGGTTCCAGTGCAGCGTGTATTTGATCACTTATAAGTGAATGTAGATCATAGTAATGGACAACAGGCAGCGGGATCTTCCGTCTTGGATGTTGGGCGGCAAAGACGGACAGCCCCAGCAAGAAAATCCCATCGAGACCAGTCATGTCCCAAGGAAGATTAAGAGAAAAAAGTTGGAAAGGTACGTTTTGTGGGGATCGGGGGATTTTTTTTGCCAGGCTAGTCCAAGCTGTCATATTATCCAAGAATGCATTTTTGGTTACACTGATGTCTGTTTGTAAGAAGTTTAACGAACGTGTGATAACTAGTTAAATATTCTGCTTCCGTTTTTATTTAGTTTCTGTTTTGTCCAGCCGCATACTAAATTTGCTCCCAATGTTTTTTATATGAAATATCTTAAATACGGGAGCTGGGCGTTAATCGCAATTTATTGTTGTTTAACTAGAAGGAGACATTTTCACAAAAGATAAACGTTTACTAACATTTCTAATGAGTGTGAATCCTGAACAATATGAATACGGTTTTGTGAAATGTATACATCCATGCTCTTAAACACGTGAGCAATGCTGTGTTAAAATTGTCACAGTCTGATATTATCTTACATCCCCCCACCTTTTCATCATGTTGAAATAATGATTTGTAACAGGACGGTCCCGTTCTTATAACCAGAGCCCTTAGGATAAAAATAAACACTAATTTAAAAAGTGGCAGAATCACAGAAAGAAAGGTCTAGTCCTTTGTTGAAGTGTGCAGTCATCTTTTCCACACCTCGCACACATTAAGTAGCTACTTCCAGTTTTGTGGAGGCCGATTTGGGTTTTCATTATAATTTTCATTATTATGGCTGGCTTGTGAAAGCAAGTCTGCTGTGAGCCTCTCAGTAGATTTTAAATACAGAAATGGTTAGATCATTGGCTGTCCTGGTGCTTCCAGAAAGGCTGTGTACGGCATGAATGAGGCTGAGCTCGTGGACACAGCGCTCAGCTTCCTCGAAGAAGAAAATCTCCAGGGTTTCAGGGCTCAGGAGCCTACAGGGCAGGTAGGCCAGACTGAGCTAAGTCAGATTTGGTTAGCAGGGGAAGTTACAAGTAAATATTGTGGTGCATCATTATTGTTTCTGTGCATTCAGTGTGTTTAATGACTTTCTGCTCTGCTAGTGTGTGATCTTTAAGGAAATCCTTAATTTGTGTGGTTTTCTTCTCAGAAGGGAAGCGGAAGGACAGCTGGGAGTCGCATGAAGAGGGATAAGCAGGACCGTGCGGATGCTTTGCCCAAGGAGGTGGCTGGTGACGCCAAATCTGAAGAAGACGAAAGAACCTACGTCTCTGAGAGTGACCCAGAAGTGGTCGCCGAGGAGGAGACTGTCCCATATGGAGAGGCCGCGAATTGGGGCCAAGCAGCAGGGCAAGGTGTCCAGCTGCAGGCCACGCATGACACTGCAGAGGCGGACTCGGCTTCCAGGGATGAGGAGGCCCTCCAGCTCGTGAGAGAAATATTCTTCACGTGACCTGGCATGGGACTACAGTTCAGTGCAGCTTTTTTAAGTTAAGGGGAACCTTACAGCCAGGGATTGAATGTTTGGTGAATTTGGGAAGCATAGTGCATCCTGGGATAGTCTCCAGGCTCTCTGTGACCTTGTGTTGGACAAGATGTTCACACAAGGTGGATGGATATATACTGTATGCAGGTACATGACAGAATGGATTCTAGATGGACCTTCTTTCTGAGCTGATGGATGAGAACAGTACCAAACTCATTCTGATAGGCGGGTGGACTTGGTCCATTAAAGAAATGTAATTATTAAGAGAAACACTTTAAGGATCCTTTCACGTGTTGGAAGTTAGGTGGGGTTGGGTGCATTATCGGATTATTGCTTTGTCTTAGGCCGTAGGCTATAAGATACTGAAGCATTATGGGACTGTTGTTCTGTCTTAGGCAAGAAGATACTGGTGCATTATGGGCTTGTGTTTCTGTCTAAGACCATAGGCCAAGGGATACTGTTTGTTCTTATGGACTTGTGGAAGGAAGCCTGCCAGATGGAATACTCTAAAACATGCTGAAGTTAGAGCGCACTGTCATAGCAAGAGTCTGGAGGCTGATCAATCCCTGATTTGCTTTCTGTGTCAGTATGACTTGTCCCTGCTGTGTTTACAAACAAAGTATGGATTATTATAATCCCACACTTCTCCCTGAAAACATTTCAGTTAGGTTTAAATAATTTTTTGATAACGTGTTTACTATTAGATTATCTAATAAAAAAATCTGTTTACAGACATCAGTTTTAATGTCTGTCTTTATAGTTGTCAATCAGAACGGGACTTGTCTATCAAACAGACATTAATCAGCACGATGTTTCCTTTTTACATTCACTATGTGATTTTTTAAAACTTATTTTTAAATTAATCTTACAAGAAATACAGAGATTAGTTTGTAGAAAATGTCTCCCGAAGGTGGACTGTTAGGATCGCTGTTTCAAAACAGACCAGGTTTTAAAAGTTACAGAACCTAATATGCAACTGTCTTATTATTTTATACAGTTTTTCGAAGCTTATAATTTATTCTACGTGATGTGAGAGGAATAATGGTCAAAAAATTATGTCATTGTTCTTTTGCAGGTGATAAATAGAAAAGTTCAATGAAATGAAGGATATTTTTTTTTTTCGTTTTGAGAGATGGATTATTGGGATTTTTGTACATTCATTTCCACTGTCATCAGCAGGGGGCGCCCGTTGGATTCAGAAAGATCAGTTTATGGAGGAACTGAACTAAATTGCCTCTGTGTATTGCAGAACTGGATATCAAGATTGGCACAATTCTCCAGAGCAAATAATTGAATTCTGTTTTATTCCATGTACACTGATGGATGTATAACTCAGCTTTGTCTCCGTTCCACTAGTGTCCCTTAGAGACTGACTTTCATGGCCTGATACAGAGATTATTGCTCTGGGTGCAAGGCAGGGGACACGCTGGATGGCACTGTACACCCCAAGTTCACAAAACATACAATCCCTGCCTGTAAGCTTACCCTTAACTTAACTAAAAGTGCTGACCAGGGCTGAAGCAAGCACTGGACAGGGATGAACCTTCTGGTGTCTTCAGTGACATTAAGGTTTACCAACTTTAAATTATTTTGATGGAACCTGAACCAGGGTTTGCTCAGGTCTTCAATTTCCATGACTTTTATATGCCTTGACCTTTGGCTGACTGATGATGGTTAGAGTTTCATACACATTGACAAGTGCCGTGTGACTGTAAAAGGTTATTGTGTCCAAAATAGAGTGAGGAAACAGAATTTAACGAGTGCTCAATGACAGCAGGTGGTTTGTGTAGAATATGGGTAGATGATTGAAATCCCAGGAGAGCAACCTGTGTTATCACCCTCTGCAGGCATGGCACCCATAAACAGCTTAATTTTTGGACATTTAGATGTTTAATTCTGAGTGCCATCCTGTCCAAAATCAGGTTGATCAGTGTTTGATGAAGTTTTGTCTTTTCTTAGTCACCGGGGGATACGGCACAGAGCAGGACCCAGTAATTTCATTGAGGGTGCTCTGCAATTGTGTTTTTTTTCTTTTGGGAGGGTGACAGTCACGGCACTCATTAATGTGACATGCTTAAATGCAGAGGCTCCTAAAGGACCAGCCACGCTGTTTAATGACAAAACAAATGGTCTCTTGTGACTCCTCAGGGCCGAAGGGAGCATATTCACACATGCAGCCGCTTTCCATAGATAAAAATCTGGTCCATTTCCTATTGTTCTTCAGCTTCCTCTTTTATGAACAGGAACTTCAGGGTCTGGCTCAAACTATTATCACACTGTTATTATTATTGGCAGGTTAAGAATTTTTGCTGAATATGGCAGCTGTGTATTTTGCTAGTTCTTATGCATGAAACTGGATAAATGCAGGGGTGTGTATATAAATTGCAAATTAAAGTGACAGGTGGAGTGAGAATGTTTGAATCATAAAACAGCATTAAAAGCCATTTCTAGAGTTTATTCTTGGGGCAACTGATGTAAGCGAATGAGAGGGATGTTTACATTGGTCCAAAGTGGACGGTGCTGCCCAGTGGGCAAACCTGGACTGACACACCATGGGGATTAGCCTGTCCTTTCAGGTGGGTCATAATACGTCATATATCTGTCTGCCTCTCACTTTCTGTCTCTGCAGGAGACTGAATCCCCAGTCAGTCAGTCAGACAAATCAATGTAAAACGAGCAATGTATATTGTGAGCTTTTAATCCAATAATTACAGACAAATGGAGATGTCGAAGGGGTGAGGCGTGCTGTGAAAAAACCTGCTCACTTCACGGCAATGTGTCATCGGGTTTGGAGCCTTTGAATTAGGACCGACGCGGCGAACCCGCTGGTTTGTGCCGCTGTTTCATTAGAAGACCCTCTCATCGACGGTTTCGGCCGCTTGCTCCTGCTCTGACACGGTTGCCAGGAGACGTGGAATTGCGTCTTCGTCGGTGGTTCCCTACTTCCTCCTCAGCGAGCCATTAACTATCTCCGCAGATCCTGTTTTGCTGTCCCGCCTGTCCCACGGCGAAATAACAATCTCAAATCTACATACGCTAACCCACAATAGCAGGATTCTGAGATAAACACCTGTGCTCCGGCATCGAATTACATCTTTGGAACTCTGAGCTTCATTGTGGCCAAGGCACCACAATTGACTGGCATTAAAAATAAATATTCTTCCAGAAATTAGTTGCCTTTTCAGATGCCATTATGAGTTTTTGGCTACAGTTAGTTAAATCCCATAATACAGCAAAGGCCCTGGATATCAGTGAAGTAATGTAGGTCACCTTCTACACGGTCTGCTGTGATGAAATTTAAAAAAGTAAATTAAAAAAATCTGATGCAGTGATGAAAGCTGGGAATGTTTCTGGGAAAAGCTGAATGGTAAGGGAGTGGTGTAGCACGGTGATTGATTCATGGGACCCTTTCAAGCCCTTCCTCTTTTTGTGTTAACATAAAAAGCTATTGAAATTTGCAGAATGGGATGGTACTGAAGGGCTGAAGCGTTAGCAGAGGCCTCCTGCCAAGCAGTGACAAAAAACACGAGGCCCACATGAAGCCATCCTCGTAAAGTGTTCATTCCTGCCACGGTCACTGAGAGTGCGGACGTTGTCAAGGCATGCCGTCTGAGGGACGCCGCGTGTGAGCGTGGCTTAGTGGCCGGTTCGAGAAGCTGCAGACTCTCAGCATGTGTTACTGCAATGTTGTTCAGCTGGTTCCAGTTTCATGCAGTATTTACCATGTTTTGGATAAAAATGTGTTTATATTCAAAATAATATCAGCCTTCTTTTGACATGGGTGAAAAATAAGCTAGTGGCTGGAAAACTGGTAGCGCAACCAGTTTTTCCATATCTACCATGACTTTTGCATTGACCATGTAGTCACGTAAAGAGCACCTAACGTTAATGCCTGCTTTGAAACGTGGAAGGGAGTTATCTCTCCAGAATAACAGGAGTTGTTGTGCAAGGTGTTGGTTTTACAGGCATCGTGGTTTCAGATCCCAGGGTGGGGCAATATTTAGGGAGTAACAGCAAGGGAGTTGCTGCAGAACAACTACACTCATCTGCTCTTAAATATTCTGCTGTCCCAGCATGTGCATGCATGGCTAATTACAGGAGGGTAGGCAACATAATGCTCGTTTCATGTAAATGAAAATGCAGTTATATTTCATTACCACAAGGCACCATACAACTGAAAGATGAGGAGGGAAAACGCTGCTCATGAAGCCTTTTTCTTGCAATGGCTTTAAACGCCCTGACAAACGCCCCAATCAAGTTAGAAGTTCAGAAAATGTACTTGATATTATTGATTTTAACACACGCATATAATACATTGCACGAATAAGACGCTTAGTGATGCGGAGCAGGGCGCGTCTCGCAGGAGGGACGCTGGGTCGCCGCCCTGCTCCATCGCATGCTTCCTTTTCCTGCCGCATTGGCTGACAGGGCCCGATGTGGGGCGACTGGGCTTGACTCGGGACCCTGGGTGCAGACGACACCAGAGCTCTCATCGACGCAACGAAACGGGGGGAGAGAAAGAAGAAAAGAGGGAGGGAGGAGAATTGGAGGAAAAAAAAACGCGGCGATCTACATCCACACTGACACACGTTTTCATTCCTTCCATTCTGACGCTGACGGCGGGGAAGGAGGAGGGCGAGGGGGGGAAGAAACCCACATTTCAGGATCGGGATCCCAGCCGTGATATCGGTGAGCGCCGCGCTGGTAATTGGGGTGAATCATTAAACGGCGGCGCATCCATCGGCGCCGATCTGTACCGCCTGTAAGACTCGTGTAAGATACCGGATCGCAGATGAGCATAAAGCGAAAGTCGTGTCTATAGCGAGGCGTTTCGCGGTTTTTTCCCCCTCCGGAGCCGGTGAGGAGCCAGCCGGCCGCCCAGCCCCGATCGCTGCCCCCTCCGGTAAGTCCGCTTCTGGTAACGTCGGCGGATTTCCTCGGAGGGAGGCGGCCCTTGTGCCAGTTGTATAATGGCATTTGTCTTTTTCGCGATCGGAAACGGCCGGGCTGATCGTGCAGTGTGCCGGCGTATGAGGTGAGGAGTGACGGAAATGCCGGCGGACGCGTGCGGTAGGTGGAGCGGGGTTCCGACCGACAGCCGCCGCGCTGCTGCTCCCGCTCCCACGTTAGAGCTCACACTTACTGCCTTATTTGTACAATTAGGCGTGAAATTTTGCTTATTTTTTATCTCACCACTTACATTTTGTGAGAACCGCGTGGGCTCCTCACATCGCAGCAGAAGGCTGTATTTCGGTAAATGCGTGATCATTTATTTTTTTCCGGTGCCTCAAAGTAGAGAGACTGGGGGCTCCGGGAAGCGGCGCTGCTTATCACGGTTTTGTAGGTGAGGATGCGGGGCAGGAGCGGAGCTGCTGACGGTCTTTTGGGGTTACTTCATCCCGGAGACTGGCGCCGTTTTGCCGTGTTTTTCCGCACTGGCGTTTGCGCCACCTCTCCGCTTATGCCTCGTACGCGTCCTCTGCCCTGTATTTAACTGGAAAATAATACGGTACATTATGCGTCTATGAGGTTGTGTCTTGAAATGCACCAGGAGCGCTTCGGTCCGTCAGTTATGGGTGGGACTCCCCTGTCTAATGGCCTGATCAATCAGTTTTGCCTAAGTGTGCCGGTGTTCTGGCGAATTCAGCTACCTATCGAGATGTGCTATCGAGCCTTTCTGCGCATGTGCAGTTACACCGTCTTGGGGTTAGGGTTAGGGTTAGGGTTAGGTTTTAGGGGTTATGGTATGGGTTTTAGGGTTTTTGGGGGGGGCTAGGGTTAGGGCTATCGATTAGCACTACTGTAGCCTAACTCGACAAAGTAGCTCAGCTCCCCAGAACACCGGCTCGATTTAGTTTCCCTCGGTTAATCTGCGAGGCTGGGGGGCGATCACCAGGGCTGACGGGCTCTGAGATGGCAGTCTGCTGGGTCCGAGGTAAAGAGAAACCACTTAAGCTTATGAATCCAGGTCGTGGGACGTGAAGGAAGCTTCCTTCGATCACTTTGCGACCAGGCCCGACGATTTGAGATGGATATGCGATTTTCTCATTTGATTATGGCTCTCCTAGTTTTACGGCTATCAACATCCAGCACTTCACTGTGGTCAAGGGATTATAAGCGGACTTGGGTTTCTGTAATTCTCTGAAGAGGTTGCTGTTTGGCCTGTAAATGCAGGCGCTTTGGATTGGTGGGTGTGGTCAGAAAAGAATATCTGGACAAGATGTCCAGTGTTGGAAATGCTGAATTCCTGGTGACCTCAGCTGTCACCCTGCCTGCCTCTAGGTAGGGCTGCTTGCAGGGTTTGGATGTAACAGGGATGTAACAGGGAATTTGTTAAGCCAAATGAAGGGAGTCTTGAGTTCTTGAATCTGAACATTTTTACAGGCCTTCGAGTCTTCCAGCACATTCTGCCAGAAAGGCTATTTGTTGTAGCATGCCTAGATGTTATCTTTACAATCCGAAATCTCTCAGCCTTATTTGGGGATGAAAGGCGGCTTTCTTACTGTAGTTTCTTGGTGGAGTGGACACCTGTATGCACGATGGCCTACACTGGGGACATGCCTCAACTTTTGTATGCAAGTCCTGCACATTTTAAAGAGTTCGCAATAAATGCCACTTGTCGGAGGTTGAAGAGGACAGAAATGAAGAAGCCTTCCAGCAGTGTCTAAATCTGGATGTAGCAAATAGCCATAATTATCAAGAGGCGGCTTATATTTAGTTATTCAAATGATAATGGGAAGTGAATGTCTTGCATTGAAGTATTTTTAGTCTCTTTGTACTTGTTGGTTTCCTGATACTGTACTTCCGTTCCAGTGATTCAACATTTCCACTGAGCATCCACTTTTTAATTAAAAATAAAAATAAAAATCACCACAGTGTGTATTGATGAGCATGCACTGATTACAGGACATTTCCACACCCCCTCAAGGGGGGAACCTGACTGCAGCCATGTGGTACCTCAGCACCACACTAGCCCAAATGGACCAGTGTGAGCTTTTTTTTTTCTTTCTTTTCTTTCTTCCCTTCCCCCATTGGTGGGAGTGCTAGTCCTGCCACCAATCCTCAGGTCCTTCCCTGTAAGTTGGAGGGTCTCCTTATAGGGCTGGATGTACATTAACATCATATCCAGGATGAAGCAATTGCAGGTTAGGGCCTTGCCCAACAGAGTAGAATCACTCTGAGTATTCATGGGATTTGAACTAGCAACCTTCTGATTACTGGCACAGAGCTTTAACCTCTGAGCCACCACTCCACCCAGTCATCAGTGTATGCTCCTTATCTACCAAGTGTTTGTTGAATATTCAAGTCACGTGATTACTCTCCTACAGATGTAAAGTCATCTTGTTAGGTTTACATATTTCCTAACCATTATCCTATTCAGGGTTATTTCTGTAATTTTTGTTTTTTTTGTTTTGATACTTATCCCCCTCCAGTGACTGGCTGTCCTCTATTAAGACTGTTTTCAAGGTTGGACCTTGTGCCTCCTCTCCTGGCACCTTGTTTTGAAACTAGGTCAGTAGTGAGAATCTGTTCGAAGGAATGTACGCACACTGATGTGTACGCTTTGGATTGGAGCTTAAATGACATTGAGGGAGGGACATCAGTTTGCCGTGGCTCTTTGATTGGCTGGTGGTAGGTGTCAGCGTGAATATGTATTTTGCCTTTGGGCCCTTTCTCCCTGCTCCTCAGCCCTGGGGGCGTCAGGCTGGCCTGTTCTGTGACTGGTAAGAAGCAGGGACTGCCAGGTCATGAGGTCTGGAAATGATGCAAGAGCAGAGGGAAACCCCTTGGAAGGTTGGGGGTTCCCCATTGGAAACCGGCTGAAGGGTTTCACATTAGGTTACGATATTACCTTTTTTCCCCTTTCAGATTGACTCCACCCTTTTGTTGCTTGATACGTGAACTCAAGAAGTGGTTAGGATAAGTTTTCCTTTGGAAGAAAGCATACTAGCCAATTTATAGCTATTCTCTAGTTTCCTCCTAACAGGTTGCAACATGTCAGTCTCTTGCAATCCTGGTAAACAGGAAACTGGAAGAGGGTGGGGGGCAGAAAATGAAGGTGTGGAGTGTGTAGTCAGCGAGTAAAAGCAGAGAGCTGTGCTGTGTGGTGCAGTCCAGCAGCAGTGGTGTAGGTCCGTCCTCAGTGCTTCACACTAGGCTTAGTCACTGTCTGTTAGAAGCCCATTAGCGTTAAAGTGCTGAGATATGTTACTATCCTGAAGAACTGTCTGCATCTTAGGATACTTCTCCCCCCAGCCCCATTGGGAATAGTTTTGGAGAAATATCTTGCTTTGGTTCCCAGGCTATAAAATAATTGCTTTAACATTTTTAGACTTCAGATTAGAATTGTACATGGTGCAGGTTAAGATTTTATTTCTACCTCTTAAAAAATGTTACTGATGGCAGCTGGCTATTGAATACAGGAGAGTGAGTAAAATAACTGCCCATTACTGTGTTTATGTATTTTAACGGGTAATTGGATGACTTCTTGCAATTTTGTTTTGGTTTACTAGGTTTTGTTAAATGATGACATACAGAAACCCTGTCAGATAATCCTGTGCTTGATCGAATTTTTGTTTTTGTCTTTTTCTGCACTTACTCTTCTTTGAAATCCTCCTTGTGTGGTCGTCGTCTCAGCATTATTACACATGGTATCTGGGTGTGCGGCAGCTTTGGGTCTCTGGGGTTGCCAGGTTGTGCTGTGAGATACTGTCCCCTTTGGCCTTATCTCTACGCTGCCCAGTGTGAAAGTCACCCTGCCTTTGGGTCTCCCTGCAGATCCAGTGTGCTTGAGTCACAGCCAGGGCAGCTTGCAGGCACTGCATACAGAAAATGCGTGGCAACAGAGGGAGGCCGAGGGGGGGGTGAGAGGGATGAGGCGAAGAGAAGAGTGGAGGCGACCAGCAGGGCTGTGAATCAGACCTCTGGTGATGGCCTGTGTTGAACAGTGTCATACCCACCCAATAAAGGGATTTTGTGGTGACCTCTCAATCAGCCAATCACAGTGGATCCCCAGGACTGGAGTTGAGAACCACTGCTTTCTTATTTGCTGATTGTGAGGTCATCCCAAAAACCCACACCTGGATCAGGTTCCCCACCCCTGCATTAAATGCACCACACTGATGGGTGGCTGTCCCCCATTTTAGTCTCTTAGGCTGGGGGTGTCTGATGGGCACCTTGAAAAGTCCCTCGAGTTTGGAAGACTGGGCTTGACTGGCAGGTTGCAGGCCAGATAGACCCTTGATCCGGAAACTCTGCATCAGTAGCTTAATCTGAGTAATTCTTTCCACATCTTAAACGGCATTTGATAATACTGGGACATGGTTCACTTCTGCCTCTTTTGTCCCAGGAACAGGTGAGTTGATTCCTGCAGTGTGTGCTGCAGAGTATTCTGAGAAGGTAGGCCGTGTTCAGTGTTGGGTCATGGCAGAGCTGAAGATGCATTTCTCCTGTTGGTTTGAGTAGGCCTGTGAGACAGGCTGTGGGTGTGCTCACCTGCGTTCATAAGCCTTCGTTGTAACATACCACATGATCTCCAGGTGGCAACAATTATCTAATGCAATCCTCTGCCAAAGGTCTGAGGCCAATACCCTAATCTCCATTCAGGTACTATCCCAGTTCATGATGTCCTGCACTTGAACTTGAACCCCTCACTCTAGTTCTTCTTCATTTTGGCCCATCTTCAGCTC